GGGAGCGATCCCGGGCGGGTGCGCCCGCTGCGTGAGGGCTCCCGGCGCTGTGGTCACTGCCCAGCGGCGTGGGGAATGTTGGTAGCGCAATAAAAGGCACTCAAAGCCTAACCGGCTTGTGTTATTCCCTTCAGACCCTGTGGCAGCATAGGAATAGGCACAGGAGAAAGGCACTAAGCTATAAATATTTTTTCTGAGTCAGCTTCTGAAATGCTTCAGGCACGTGTGTTGTTGATGAGCTTAATCATAGTGCCCAGGATGTAATGCGAGGCTGAAGTCTGAAAACAACTTGGGCACTAAAATTGCTCTGGCACAAGCATGGAGAATGAAAAGGTGACTAATGAGGGCACTAAAAGCAAAAAAATCTGTCGTGAATGGCTTGATCCTTCAGAAGATGCTATTCACCCTCACTCAAGACTGCATGTAAAAAACAGATTCTTTACTGAACAACTTTCAAACTCATTCCCATGCTGCTAGACACTGACAGCACCTCTGTGTACCATTTGACAGTTAAAAAAGATGGAGCCCACCCTCAAAACCTCTAATTTTACGCAGCAAAGCTCAAACAGAAGCTACTGTCATAAGGAGCCAGCTATCATTAGTCTTGTAAGAGCATGGAGACATGTAGATGATGCATTGCAGCTCCTAGGAGTATTGCAGTGTCCTGCAGCAGCACTGCTCTGGCTATCTGATAGTCAGCCAGCTCCTGATCTCACCCATTTATCTGATTCTCGCCACAAAGGCACAAGCATTTACCCATGGAAAAAGCAGGCATTTCCATCATCCAACCCTGCCAGACTCAGCATCTTCCAGCCAGTCCTTCAACTCCATCTCACTCTGCCCTCTCAGCTGTTCTCCCATCCCAGGGGACCTGCAGAGGTGCCATTCCCTCATGTGAAGTGATGCTCCAGAACTCGGAGGGGCAGAGGGAAAAGTGAGTGTTGCCTGGTGCCTAGAAACACCAGAGATGGGCCATGGCACTGTAGAGAGCAGGAGAGCACAGGGTCCTGCCACCTGCATACACATTCCTCCCTGAGCAGCCAGGCCTGGTGAAGCACAGCCTAAAATCAAGACGTGTCTATGTGTACATATACAAGTACGTACTTATAAACTTGGTTGTTCAAACCTGAGTCCTGGTGTAGGAGGCAGAGAATGGCAGCAGCAGTAGCTCAGTCTCACCTCCCATGCATTACCTGAGCTGCAGACAGCACGTTGTTGTGTTTGCCTCAGTGCATGGCACAGACCCTGCTGCAATGGGGTGGGTTGTTGTTCCTGCACTTGGATCCTCTCTTAGCAGATGCACAGGATTAAATTCCCAAGCTAACTTCAAAGAAGCTTTCAAATGAGCAATGTAATTGCTCTGTGCACTTAGAACAGGAACACAAAGTTTACATGCCAAGCCTCCACCCTTTCATGCCTAATTTATTATGCTATTAATAAAAAATTAGCCTGATGAATGGCAAATTGCTCTAATCAGCTATGCACTTAAGTACACACAGCAGAAGTTGGTCATAATATCTCTATTTTCAATAAAATTCTTTAAAATGTTAACACTATACTCACAACTATTTCTCACTAAAGAGAAAAATGCATGTGATAATTGAGGCCCATATTTAGAAAGCAAAGGTGGATGACAGGTGTCATCTTAAAAGCTTTTTCCTAGCCCAATTCTTTAATGCATAAAGGGGTGTGCCTGCTAATTCTAGGAAAAGCTTGCCAGAAAAGAAAGGGGAAAAAAAGAAAGCAAAGTAACCTTTGAAGTAATTGAGTGGACTAAAACAGGATAGCTAGTGTACCAGGCAGAGAACACACTGATGAATAATGGAAGCAAATTAACCTTAAATACTACAGCATTTAGGAAAAAACAGAGCTTTAACTTCTCCAATCCTCCCCAGTGTTGCTGAAGGAGTATTTTTATATGGTATTTCTCACTCAGGTATCACAAGCAGTTAACAGGATAAATATTATTTGATCAGTTTACCAGAGGGTGGACAGCACTGAGTGTTACTAATGCTTTTACAGATATCTCCTCCATTCTTCCTTGGAAAACCAGCTCACTTCCTCTGTTGTGTCTCTGATTTACATGGGAGATTTGAGTCTCTTACAGGTACTTCAAAAATTAGACAAATCATTACTACTTACATAAACTAATCCCTGAAGGTAAAACTAATTGTTGCAGAGTAAAACCAAACCACCAAGTCCCTACAGAGTATGAAAATCCTGTTCACTGTGCAGATTTGTGGCCATTTCAGTTATACTGACACTGCCATTGCTGTACCAAAATAATCTAAGATGCCACTAACGACTCCAGTTTGTTTAACACATCACAGCAACCCCCGTGGCAGAGCCATGCTCACACCCTGCCCGTGCCAAAGGGGAGTGGGGAGAGAGGCAGATGAGCAACTGGATTTTCAAAGGGTTGAGAGCATCTCAACCACAAGCCTAGATAACTGGGAGCAGGTAACAAAACTGCTGAGCATAGGTCAAATTTGGCTTTGAGCAGTTACTTTATCGCGTGGTCCCTTGGTTAACATGTACTGCAGGTGAGTAGCACACAAAAAAATCACCATCAGCTGAATTGTGTGACCTCACAGCTCCAGCTGGATTGTACTTAGAGACGTGATTCTACATTTGCATTGTTCTAGGTGTGTCTTACTGCAGAGTGAAGTAAACACCACAGTTTTGCTGAAAATAAATCAAGTACCCTTCTGTCTCTGTAAGAAACTCATCTAAGAGAATGCAACTAATGCAAAATGCATACACAGAATCTGCATCTGAGGTTTGACCAAGATTAGGAATCTGCCATATTAACTTCTCCAAGAAAAATGCATCAGCACACCAAAGCTGTCAGTCCCACTAACTCCTGTGTGTCTGAGCTGCCTCCTTTACATTACCTATGCAAATTTAAGTCTCTGAAGAATCCTGCTCTAATTTGGGGTTTGATTTGTATTTGTGTCAGCCACTTGATTCTTCCCTGTAATTTTCACAACCACACATTTTGCATCCAAGGAAATTAAAAAGGCATATTCCTTTTTTTTTTTTTTTAAACTTTTTAAAAACTTTATTAAATTACCCATCTCCACGCAAGTGTTTCATTTCTGGATTGCAGAGGTATAATACATGAGCCACAGGTGAGTGCATTACCCCTCCCTTCCCCCCAGCTTCCAAGAAACAAAACAGCAGGTACAATACAACTCCTGTTACTATGGTTCTCCAACAGATTGTTCATAAGGTTATTTTTTCACCGGAGAAAAATGAAAAGGACCAACAGTGTCTTGTTCTGCACATAAATGTTCTTCACTGCAACATTCCAACACCTTCTCTTGGGATGCAGCGTGGCAGAGGGGCAGGAAGCAGCGGCAGTGGAATGCGTTCGCGGGAACTGTTAGATGCAAAGCCTGTGACTTCCCTAGAGGTAATCAGGCAAGCAGAGTTCAAGGAAGGCTGTGTGACCGTTGAAAACTCTTTACACTTCAAAGTGCATGTCCACAAAAAATTGGCAACAGAGGAGAAAGTGAATTCTAATACCTACTGGGGAGGCAGAGCAGTTTGCATAGTGCAAATACTGAAAGGAACACAAGTTTGCCTGGCATTAAATTTCAGTTGTCTGAAAATTATGAGCCAAGCTTCCTACTCAGATGAGCTGCTGCAAGCCCATTCAATTAAATTAATTTTATGCCAGTCATGAGCTTGGCTCAAATCCTTTAATACTTGGATTTTGATAGAAAAATGCTGTATATTTAAAGTGTGTTTTCACTCTGAAAAGTAATTTAAATGGCATCAAGGATCTTCCCACATTTTTCAGCAACTTCAAGTTTACAAAAGAGAAAGTTTTTATACGTAACTACATAAATTTATCTGGGTAGAGAACAGTGTGCCTTTCTGCCTCAGAAATCAGCACCTGTATTATTCTGTTGGGTTTATCTGCTCTCAGAGAATGAAGTTGCCTTTCCCTAAACGTGTCCCACTTCAAAAAGGAAGCAAGAAGTCCTTTAGACAACTGGCAGACAAGCAGGACCTTGACCAAAGTAAGATAATGCCATTTTTAGAGAGACTTTTCTGGCCATAATCACGCTTTGAGAACTGATTTTTTAAAAAAAAAGAAACCTTGGTGGAAGATTCTCTATGGATGCATTACTGAACAACCATCTATAGAAGTAATATGGCAAAGGAAAACTACTTAGCAGAAATCTTTACAGATCTAGTTGAACAAAAACTGGACAGTCCTTCATTTCTTGAATGACATGTATACCCCTGTGAAGTGAAGCACTAGAATTTACAAGTGTCAACTAAAAGTATTAGGAAAGTGAAGTAAAAAGCATATCACTCTACCTCCACCAGAACATCACTTTATTGTTTAACTGTCATCAACAATGTAAAACTCTACTAGATACTCTATCCTGTTTTTTAAAAAGGTAAAGGTTACATTGGATTAGCTACGTCATACGAAAGAAACTACAGCAATCACAGTAGAATGAGATTGGAGGGACAATTTGAATTACAAAAAAGTGTACGCTGCAAGCAGAGGGAAGTGCACATTAAACCAAATGCCTGTAGGATTCATTACTTTTAAATGCACAGTGACAATTTTGAGAAACTGTACATAACAGAACCACAAAACTGACTTGAACCAAAATTACATTTTGCATTTGACCATCCAACTCATAAGTAATCACTGATGTTCTCTATTTTCAGTGCTTTTGGAAAAATTGTTTACCAAACAAAATTGAAGTTGTTAATTTGACTAAACTGTGAAGTAGAAGGATTGAAACAAAAAGGATATTGGAAGTACGCCTAACCTACAAGAATAAGCCAAGTGGGGTGTGTGTGCAAGGAGAGGCTGGGAGGGAGGAGAGAAAGGGAAGAGGAAAGGGAGAAGAGAACAAAGGCTTTTTCTTCTATCTCAGAAGTTCTTCCAATGCAGAGTATATCTGATGTACAGCTCTTTGCTTTCAGTCCATTTCTGAAGTTTACATTTTTGTAGCCTTTTTCCATACTAACTGGTCAACTCAACCAGCCCTGCTGCCACGCAACGAGAGTAACAAGAATCTGAATGCATCAAATCTGCCCTTGCTGTGATTCCTTCACGGCCCCATTTTTCTGTTTTTCTTTGAACAGGGCTCGGTGTTGCCTAAATTGTTCACAGGGTCAGGTGGAATTGAGTTCCAAATCACTCTGCGGTGTGTGGCACCCCGATTTCTTTCTGCAGCTAACCCCCACACACGTTTGCAGTTCTTCGTAGCAGAAAGACAAACCGTGTTGCTCAAGCGGTGAGCGTTCACCCTTGACCGTGGGGGTTGCAGACCATTGTGTTTAGCGTATCCCTGAGTGCAGCTATCCTGCAGGATTCACTTCCCAGTGCACCGAGATTTCCTAGGTTTCCTCAGATTAAGCCCCAGTATGCATCACCACCGACTGTGGTGCGGCTTCGGATGCCTGAGGCCGAGTTGATTCTGGTGGATGTCTGACCTCGCTGAACCAGACCGAGCTGCTGTCTCCCTACTCATACCCAGGCAGTCCAACCTTCATACAGCTGAGCCAAGTTATCTAGATTAGTTGCTTCCTTAATCACAAAGTCAACCTATTAAAAAGGTCAAACAAGTAATTAAAAATACACTGGAATTTTCAAAGCATTTCAGTGATCTTAGAATTTACTGTTGAACATCACCTGTGAAAATAAAGTTCAGTGAGAAAAACTTATATTAACTGTAAACTTAGTCTTACATAGCTTTGTGTAGTCCACATAGAAACAGGAACTTGTACTGCAGGGGCAAAAAAAGATCACATATAATCTCATCTATAGCCCCAATCCTGAAAATAGCCACAACTGACACGGACAACTGGGTCCCCTGACTCAATTCCCCAGAGACAGGACTGTGGATCTGTTCTGTTAGCCAGCACAGACAGGTTCTGTCCCTTCGGCAGCTGCACAGACCTCGTGCTCTCCCTGGCTGTCAGCAGCTGTGGAACAAATGTTACCTTACTGACAGACAAAAGGCAGTTTAAGCCAATTCTGAGTTTATATAAACCTCCTCTAGTGAAAACAAAAGCATATGATGGGAAAAAAAAGTCAATGAATGCAGCAATACAAGGCAGCAGCAACCCTGATTTGTGCTGGGATATGTCACACACCCCAAAAAGAACCCCCATTCACCACAGGATTCTAGTCTTCAGCACACACACACACACACACACCCACACACCCCTGCTAAGTACTGAATATTTAAAGCAGTGCTGGAACTTTACTGCTTTCAACTCACCTGTTCAGCAACAGACATTCTCCTGTTGGGATCCACATCTCGGCCCTCTAGCTTGGCTTTGACCCTCTTCCACACGCTAACTGCGTATGAATTCCTTTCCTGCACGGCTAAAGGGACAAAACAAAGCTCATTCAACCTGACATTCCCACAAAGAAACCCACTGAGGCCTTTTAGGGGTTTTTGTTGCTGTCAGTGATGGGTTTGGGGATTTTTATTTTTTTTTAAAACCCTGTATTTACCTTTTCCTGTTTTAGGGTCCCTGGCTGTCTTTCTGGGACTACAAGCAACACTTTTGACAGTTCCTGGGACTGTGCTTGGAGGAGTATCTGCTGATGTTGCAAGATTTTTCTGAATTAGCTTTCTTGCATTCTGTGACATCACCTCTGGCTGTGTCTTCTGCCCTGTATTGCTTCGTACAGCTGTAAAGAAATTGTGTAAGTGCTTAAAGTATTCAAAATCATATTACAGAGGCAAAAAGGAGCACAATTAAATGTGTATCAAATGCAGCTATCAGGACTTCGTAGAAATGCATTTTAAACTTGGATGTTAAATTCTACACCAGTTTTCTACTTTCACTTCATCAACAAGAGGTTTTGCTTCATGCAACCATTTATTTGTATTAGGCAAATTTTTATGGGTTCTCAGCCTCTAATTCAACACTTTGTAGGGCAATTGTAAAAAGGAACTCTTGTTCTTGATAATAATTAGGAACCTGCACTTAGTCCAAATACTGACAGTAGAATAGTCCTTTAAATAAAGAGAAATCCATGCTCATAAGAAACATTACTCATGTTTGTAACTGCAAAGGGAAATTTTGCAGACACAAAGGCCTTTGTAGAGTGTCTGTATTAATTCCAAAGTCACCATAAATTTTAATACTAATTTCAACAGAAACTAAGAGTACTGTGGATACAAGTGACAATGTGTGCCAAGTATTCTGGGCTTTGTGGAGTGAAACCAGATCTTGATGTGTCTGATCAAAGGCATTCAATATTGTGTGATAAATGACTTGAACCTTATGGGGTTTTATAATCTTATAGACTGTCTGTATTCCAAAATTTAATGTAAACTATGATCCCCTCACTAATATCAATTCCTGATGGTTTCATGTTTGCCCTTTTTCAAGTATTACCTGCAGCAAAGGTTGGCTGATACGTAGCAGCTGACGTTGGGCTCGAGCACTCATTTGCTGTATCCGTGACTAAGGGTGATGCAAACCCCACCAGATTATTGTAGACACTAGAAAACATAAGGCAGTTGTTAAAGATCCATGTAACTACTTGACTTACTGAAAACTGAAGGAGAAAAGCCAAATTTTGCAAGATTTCTGCATTCTAAGACAACCACCAAGCAGGTGCCCCAAGATGTGTTCCTGTTGTGTGAAAGCAGACAAGCAAAATGCCTGTTCTCACCTGAGAGAATGTGACTTCCTTACCTTTGGCTCTGTGTTTTTAGTTCTTTCAAGGTGGGAGTTATTTCCTGCAGCATTTCAACATGTTCCTGACTGCGGACTTGCCCCATAACCTGAACTAATGTAAACAGAACTGTCTGAATATTATCTTGCCACGATTTATATTCGCCCAAGAACTGCCTAACACTATTCTCATAGGGAACATCTTCACCATCTGCCAAAGCCGCTTCTTCATCCTGTAACAAAGATGTGCAAACAGGTTAACTGTTTGCTCTATCTTGCTATAAGAATAAAGTTGACTATTTTTTAGCCCTTTCAGCCCCTTTTTTTTTTTGACTACAAAGAACCATAATTTTCAGCAGTTACATTTCAAGATAATAGATTTGAAAATGATCAAATGTTTTACTGATTAAGAACCAAGAGGATTTATAAACACAGTGAAAATGTTTCAACTGCCAAATGTGAGAAAAGGTTCGATTCAATCAAAGCCTGCTTAGCCATTCTAGAAAGTTTTATGAATTCTTAGAGATGAACTGAATTTTTGTCTTGAACTTCATATGCACAAACACATTTCACCGTTTCTAGATACTTTAAAAAGCACATAGCTACTTTTCTTAAACTGTACTGACATGGGTTTGAGGCATAAATTTCAGGCATACCTTTGCCATAGCTTTCAGTAGATGTTTGACATCTCCAAGTTGTCTGTTATGACCCGTAAGCACAGTTTTAATACTATCCACCAGATTCTGAATTGTTTCACAAACTGTTTCTATTTGCTGTTCTCTTTCTGTTTGTACTGTTCTCTGTGTAGATATTTCCTGGGTCAACTGCTTGTGAGCTGAGTGAAGCCATTCAGAGCTGCCAATAGGATGTTCAAGACCAGTGCCCTAAAAATAACAGAAACATTTCTTTATCTGTATCCAGAGATAAAATTCAATTACTGTGTAGATGCCACTGCCAAGGGTTTTGCAGCTGACAGCAAAAACTCTGTAATCCACACCCACCCCAAGGTAGACAGAGCAGTAATTTAGAATGGAAGACAAAACTGAGAGCTCATTACAGCAATTCTGTAACGTTTCATGTTTTGCTTTGACCTTTGCTTACCACTCTCTGCAGCAGCCGAAGCTCCAGGTCAGACACTGAGCTGTTGAACTGGGATGCAAAGGAGCACATCTGCTGACAGCGTTTGAGAAGCTCAAACAATGCAGCATCAAGATTTAAGGCTTCTGCTGTTCTAGTACGTAAACTTTCAAAATGAATGATATTACTGCAAAGGAAAGTCACCTGAAAAATCAAAGCAAGAGTGAGAAAAATTATTCCAATTCAACTACTATATAAACTGCATTTTTCCCATGTGCTTAGAAGTGAGAATTTTAAACACAGCAGTAAAGCTGCTCTGTTACAGTGGTGATACCATCTCAGAGTCATCCAACCCTGCAGCAATTCTCACAACGATTATTCATGCTGTTTTCAAAGTAGGATTCCCAGAAGTATTTGGTTATCTATGCTTGCTTTTGAGATGCAGGGCAGAAAAATATCTTCTACATAAATCTCAAGCAGGAAATGAAGAGTGAACACACTTATGGAGTCAACAGTATTGTACAACAGTCAATAGTACCTGACTTGCTCTTTGACTTTCTTTCAGTACAAGGTTTCTTCTCTCAGCAATAGTGGCATCAAAATCTTGCAAGACTGGTGCCAGTGCAGGATTAGCACCTCCTGCCCATTTCAGACGCTGCTCAATACTTGCTTCAAGTGCTGCTAGTTTCTCCTGCATTGCAGAACAGAAAAATCCCAAAAAACACACAGATAAATCCATACTGATACCTAGCATTCTAAGCTGACACATGCAGACACATTCTCATGCCCATATATATGAACTACTGTGATACTCATGACTGACAAATGTAAGTTTAAATGTTATGCTGTTTAAAGGTTCATTTTCAGTACACATCACAACTGGATTTGACTGATGGAAAGTCACCTGTTTAGCTTGTAACTCACCAGAAAAAAAAAGCAAAAGTAATCACATTTCTAGACTAAAAATTAAATAAAATCATGGGAGTCCTCAATTATTTTACAATTAATTCAAAGAATTATTACAAATAGTACCTTGACAACTAAAAAAAGTAAGGAAGAATTCAGGAAGCTAAGCAGTATTTATTTTAAAAAAGTAAACATTCTGTATTACTGATACCAAAAAATCTCAAATGCTGAGCCAAGCCACAGCACACAAACCTTAGCACACAGAATAACTGATCTGCCCCATCTACAAAGGAAGCTTCTGACACTTAGCTAGTAAGGATGTGTTGGGAAAGGGAAAGTTCCATGCGGGGAAGCAAGCGGCCGACTCCGTGTGGGTGATACAGCAAGCTCCAACTTTATTGTCTGACAGGCTCTTTCTTATACCGTGCAGGCCAGGCATACAACTATCAATCGGTTATAATTGGCTAAGCTCTAGAGATAGCATTCAGGTACTCTCCCTACTTGCAGTTACAGCTGTGAGGATTATCTCTTACTTTCCCAGGCTTGGCTGCATTCCTAGCTGTTTTTCTCAAACTTGTTTGTCTCACCCTCAAGGACAACTTGCCCCTACCATCTGCCAAGCTGAGTTACTCCCTATCTATATATAAGTTACTATCTCCAGAGCCTTGCTTGTACACTGCATTCCCAGGTGCATTCCCAGGTGACTGTCTCCTTGCTCTTTTTAGCCTTCCCCAGGTGCATTCCCAGGATTATGTCCCTGCTCTCTTAGCCATTCTCCAACAAGGATGATCTAAGGCAGACAAACTTAAAGAACAGGAGCATGACCAGCCTTCAGAAAGAAAGACACTTTCACAGATCTGTGTATTTCCTCAAAGAGATTCACTGATATTCTAGAAAGAATGTTTTGCATGAGACAACAAATACCTCAGACAAACAGACCAATGTACCCCTACAATTGTACAAGACAGCTAACATAATTTGAAGGTGGCAGAGGATTTTTCAGTTTGTGTCACATCACATTTCAATACACTGCTGAACAAACCTCCCCAAAACACTCATACCTGGACCGTTGCAATTGAAGCCTCAATCTGACTGAGTGTGTGAAGTTTCTTTTTCATGCTGGCTAGAATTGCAGAACGAGGTGGAGGAGTGACAGAAATAGCTTGGGGGCGACTGATGAGGAGATCTTCATGCTGCCACTTTAAGAAAATAACAGCAACACTCGATTATCAATATTGCTCAGCACAAAATACTTTGCTTCAGGAACAGCAATTCTAGTGCTCTGGTACAATTTTTAAGTAAGGGCATTTAAAAAGGCTGAGTACGATGATACCAACACATCTCAGAGTTCTAAATCCTTAGAGAGTGTTACATTATGTAAGAAGTTGTAAACTATATTTTGCTGGCTTGGATGTTTATAACACTAATCAGTCATTAACTTACTAGAAGTGATTTACACACTTTTTTTGACTTAAAGGAAAAGCCATCAATATTCAGAAACAATCAAAAGCTGTCAAGACAATTTTGCTTACCAGTCTATCAAATGGCTTATTAACTGACATGGGGAAAGCCTTGTCCCTTAAACTACAAATCACTACAAAACTAAGATCAGTGACACTGCAATACCACTAGATACCAATGCACAGTTCAAGGCACACAATGGCATTTATCCAAAGCCCCAGAAGAGCATTTTTCAGGATTGACCCTGCTGCTAGTTGTATTTTTAATGAAACAAACAGTGGAGCAAGGAGACAATGCATTAAAACTTTGAAGGAAAGGTACAAGAAGACATTCATCAATGCATACCCTCTGTTTTAAGCAATCTCCTCCCTTAAAGTCATGATCAGTTTGGGAAAAGGGGGAGAATGGGACAGCATTACTAGTAAGAAAGTTGGTGAATTACTTATTTTCTAATAAATGACTTAATGGCTATGACAAACATATGTATTGGTTCAAAAAATAATTTATACATTGCCAAATTTGCTGCTTATAAAGCAGCTAGTCTTCAAAAGAAGACACTTTTTTCCTTATATCTTTACAGCATAATTTTGAACAAAATACTTTATCGAGTCCATTAAAATATCAAGTTTTGTTGTGCTCAGACACAGGAACGCACACTCACTTTCCACAGCCACAACTCAGAAGCAAATACCCTGTGCTGTGGTCCTACCTGGAACATGGCAATATGCAGCTGCACTCTCTGAAGACTGGTCTTGCAGGATGAGATGCTGGTTTCAAGCCTGCGCACTAGGTCATGCTTCTTCCACGCAGTATCATAGGAACCTGCCAACACTGTTGCCCTGTTCATCACCAGCTGTGAGAACTTGCCAACCTGGATATTGTGCTCCACAGCTTTCTTGCACAGATCATCCACAGAAACTTTGCTTTCTGCTCCAAAGTCTTTAGCCTCTACCTGAGCAATGATATCGACACCCAAAGCACTGATGAAACTGCACAAGGTCAGACCCAAGGCTTGATTTGGAAGGCCAATTAAAAGCTGCCTCACAAAGTCAGCTGTAAAAGCCTTAATAGGTTTGGCCATTTGATCTTCACTAAAACAAGAGTTTCTGTAAAGAGCTTTCACATTGACAATTTGCACTGGTCCACTGACTGAGTTCTGGTCTTCAAGTGAACTGATTCCTTTGAAAGAAAGAAATAATACTTTTGTTAGAAACAAAAAATATCACCTGAGTTACAAACACAGCAAGACTACAGGAATGTATTTTTAATTTCTGCATCCTTGCCATATATGAAAGTTAAGTTACAGTAAAGTGAATATTTTACATTCTTCTGAATGAGAAGTGGATAAAGCAATACTGAATATTTGACAACACTTATTTACCTGACAGTGTTTTAGAAAAAGTTCCACAGAGCCTGAAAAATTCTTTTATTGTTTGCAGTCTCTTCAGAAAGAAAATTTCCTCCAGAACTTGCCGATTATTGTCATCATCAAAGAAGTTCACTTGGGTGCTGCGAGCTTCCCTAATTATGTCAATCTTACGCCAAGCAAGAGGTATCTCCATCTTGTTTAGCTGAGCAGTGTAAAGGAAATAGGTTAGTTTTGTCCTATTTCTGACACAAGAGAGTACCCTAAACAGAACAGATCCATACCTTCTCAATCAATAACCCAAACGCAGTTTCCACTTGAGCAAACATTCCATCAAAAGCTACCAAGAGCATCTGACCAGCTGACATTTTGGGAGTTTCATCCACTGAACCGTTCCTAGGCTGAATCAGTTCACCATACTGAGCATGCAGTACTCTAAAAAGTAAACAAAGAGAAAAAGAAAATTCACATGGTTTTGCTTAGCCCACAATAAATAGGATTTTCTTAAACCAATTGATCCTGCAGCCAGAGCAGACTGGAATTAAGTTGCATCTGGACAAGGTGACATTTTTGCAGGCTTTTCCCACCCTCCCTGCCACAGGAATCCCAACGCTGGTCTCACAATAACAGCTAAGGATGCCTTATAAGACAGGACTGCATTAAAGGACCAGCAACAAAGCTAACGTAAATACAGTAGAAGATACACACTGTACTTCCTATGAGCATGATAAAGTTATGAATAGTGACGTAAATATCACTTTTCCTTCCTTAAAAACCAAGCACTGGTTTTATAATATGTGCACAGAGAACTGACTGGACTGTCAGGTAAAAATGTGGTCTCAACCCTTCCTTATGTCACTTCTGACCCTCAACTAAGAGGCTGAGCAGACTTGCCAATGGGTAAACCAGGAAGAAAATGAATTTCAGAGAAAAGTTGTAAATTGTTTTTCAGAGTTACCACTGACACACTGACCACCACAGCTGGCTCAAGGGAAGCAGCAAGATCACTCGAAGCTTTTGAATAGGCTCAGTTGTGTACTAAGCACTTAGCCAGAAAAGTACTGTCCCACATTACAAGGATGCACAAGCCTTTGGTTGGGGCTTTGTCTGTTTGCATTTTACTTTTTTAATCAAGTCACTGACTCATAATGCAAAAGCTGCTTATCAAACCTCCTGACGAAAGGAGTGCCATGGTTACAAGTTCTCCCTCTCACAGGTTTCTCCCACAAACTAATGAACTAGTTCCTATCTTTAGCATTCTTCAACTTCAGATATAAAATCCCAACTACATATTTTGGAAAAAGCTGACTCCCAAAAGTCAGCTTTAAGTGTGTGTAAATGTAAATTGTCAGAGCTCCATACTTCTGTGTGTGCATGGGCATAAACACACAAACATGCAGAAGGGAAGAGAGTCCATCTCAGACACTGCACTCTGCATAAGGGTATTCTTGGGCAAGAAAAGCCTGTATATCAAATAAATTAGAAAAATTAGACAAACTAATGTTCTGCAGTCTTCATTCTCTCATAGCTGAACTGAAAAAAAAAAAAAAGGTGATTTACCTTGCAACATCAATGTAATGAGTATGTGTTTCTTCCTCTAGACCCATAGCAGCATTTCGTAAGTAGGCTTGAAGAGATTCAACCAATGTTTGCAAAGGGACTCCATCAGTTGTTTGCTCTATGAGATTATCTAATTCATGGAGCATACTTTCTAAAGTATACTCTCCTTTCATTAAGCACCTAAGTGCTTCAGGAAAAATGATCTGTCGGAAGTTTGAGTTCAATTCCTGTTGGGAAGTAAGTATGAAAACATAAGGAATTTTCCCCTCTCAACAAGTATCATCTGCAACATCTTTTTTATGTTAGTATTGAACTACCCTGCAGCAGACAGGATCTAAAAATCTCAGTGGTCAGCCAAGAGTCAGAAGTCTACTTTGACTTTTTAAATTAAAAGAAATCAGGAATATATTAAACCCTGTACAAACCCAAAGGTTTGACATTTGTAGCAATGTAGCAACAACTATCCCCACAGCACCAGGAGCAATATTTTACAGCAAACCTCAGCAGAGGCTCAGTGGTACAGAGATCACACATAGCAAAGCAATTTCATCACATTACACTGTTTTTCTTTTCCACTACATAACTACGAGCAAATTATTTACTGAGTTTACGATTTGCTAAACCGATTAGACTAGGCAAGGGAAAAGACTCAAAAACTTGCCAGGTAGTGATAATTTTGCTAGGGTCCTACTCACAGAAATCAATGCAGGGAAGGCAAAGAGTGGCATAGAACAATTTCCCCCCCAAGGGCTAAAAGGGGCTACAGAGAGAACAACAGCACTGTCTCCAAAATGATACAAGACACACCAAAACAAGGCTGGTTATCTTGACTGCTCAGTGCGCTGCACATGTTATCTTAGAGCTCACAAGGAGGACAACAATGTGCGGGTGAAAGATCTCTGCTGCAATGCATACAAACTGCAGGCACGTTTCTAAAACAGCTCTGAAATGTTACTACTTCAAAGAGGAAAGAAACAACGTGATGGGAGAATCACAAGGCACTTATACAGCTTGGTAGAAAAATATTTTTCAAATCCAACACAGCGGAACCAAAAGACTCAAAAAGCTGTTTACACCAGCAACAGTTTATAAACCACATCAATCTTCAGCAGGTATTTCACTCAAGCTGCCATCAATGTTTAGTTTGTTTGTTAATGTGGAAGCATTTCTAAGCCACAAAACTATAAATGCCTTTTTTCCTTCCCAGTCTTGGAGATAGGGGCCTGTGCAACAGGTTTGCAGAATTTGTTTGAAACTATTTGTTTCAAGTGAAACTAAGTAAAGCTTAGTAGGAGCAGAAGACAAAACACAATTTGGAAGCTGTTCTGGACTGACAGCAACAGACTAAAAGAATGAAAACAAGACATGAAACTGGTGTGTCTGTAAATCTGACAGTAACTTCTCTCTCACGGTCACTTAACTTGACAGCAGCTTTTACAATCTGTCATGCACAGACCAAGACAATTTCTTCCAACCAATAAAAATGCAAATGGCAGGAGCAAATACCTGTTCAGCTTAGTCAAATATCAAATCAAGATTAAGATTCAAGTGAAAGAAACAAACTCAGCAGCATCATAAACAAACATTTAGCCCTTAAAGGAAGAATCTGTAAGACTGGCTCAGCTGAAGCTTTGAAGGTTGGGGGGAAAAGGAACATAAAAGGAAGTGTCACCTGAAGTGAGATATAGACTCCATTTGCTAAGTGAACAGCTTCTGATGCTTCAATGGGGTTCGGAATATCTAAGTCCTGGGGCACAAGATGACACTGCTTCAGCAACTGCACAAGGCACGTAACGTTCCCACTCATGCTGCAAAGCTCCTCCAAGAACCAGGCTCCATCTCTTGAGGTCAAATCAACAAGCTGCTCTCCAGCACTCGATGCTGCACCTTCCATCATCAGATTTCGCCTAGATGAATTATGACACTTAGACAACATGCTGCTGCTGCATTCTTTACATCAGCAAGTCACTTGAATATTCCTTTTGTGTGGTCTCAAACATGAACTTATGACATTTCCCAAGAGGCAACTCACCTGGTCAGCGTGCAAAGAGCAGAGATGATGACGCTGGCGAGGCTCAGCGAGCCCTCCTCCCCGTTTTCATGAAGGAACACTTTGATGCACCGTTCAATTTCTTTCAGCTGCTCCTCACACACGGGCACAGTGACTGCCTCCTGCTTCAAACGCTCCACCTGCCTGATCAGCCTGTTGTTGATATCTGCCGCGTAGCGCTGGAGGGTCATCTCCGTAGCTGTTATGAACTGACACATACTCGGAGGTGGCTGAGGAGCATATTGCATTTCATACCTGTAAAGCAAAAGTACAATGACAACAGTTGCCCTTCTCCAGTGCTAGAAAACTGCATTCTTGCTCTGTACGTAGGGAAAATACTGTGTGTTTGAACAGTTTCCTTATCAACTCTAAACACCACAGTGGTGGATGGTTACCCTAATGATGCTTTCGTGAAGTCCTGGAATGCACCATATTTCATACTTATTTGCAAGGACAGAAGAGACTTGACAGTTCTTGAGACAAAGAAAGAAGATAAAAAGGACGGAAACAGGTTTCAGAGTAAATTTTAATATAATCCAGATCTTGTAAGTCAAGCAGTAATAATGCTGAAACAGCCTGACTTCATAAGAAAAAAACCCAGAAATTGCTTGAAAATCTACCTGAATTTAAAAAAAAAAATCTTTTGTTGGTTTAATTGATTTTTAAATAGTGGAGGGTTCTAAAAACCTAAATGTCACTACCCTAAAGCCACAAACATAGTTCTTCATTTGTTCATGACAGGGCAATGTTACTTGGCTTTCATGTTGAAATACACAGATTAAACTCTGGAACAGTATTTTTAAAGCAGTTTCTCATATTGTATTATATTCATATTATCCACATAGACTCACGACTTCTCTAATTTAAAACTAGGTATGTCCTTGCAAAAGTATTTATTTTAATTAGAAAGTTAGGCTAGTAGCTTAAAAATACCCATTTGAAAAAATCAATTCTTCTGTCAACTTACTTCCTGAAGATATCCTGACAACGCTCTATTGTCATGTTACAGATGAGTTCTTCCATCCAGGTCTTCCACTGCTCTATTCGGTGCTTCTGGAACACAGCTTTGGGATACTGCAGAGCTACTGTGGCATAGTTGTGCAACTGTTCGAGACAACCACGTAACACAGATCTTCTCTGCTGGAGAAGAGCACCAACTTCCCCTTCCAGCTGTTCACACTGACTGATGAGATGTGCCTGGCCTGCGTTTTGCAGAAATGCTGTTGCTGGGACATAACTGGGAGGACCTTTTAAGAAAGATAGTTAAAAATTAAGATGCATCTCTGAAGCACATACATATTTTATCAGACAAATACTGAGCGTTCACAGCTCTTCAAAAATATTCTTTTACTCGTGACAAAGGAAGCATGGAGTGTTCATACTGAGAGTTTTGGGCACAAGGTAAGAGAGTAGTCTCATGGACAGCTAAAGTCAGACAGACAAGTTCCTTCAGACAGCTTGAAGTGCTCTAAATCACCCTCTGAAGAAACTCCTTTCTTTTCATTTACTATATACAGGTCCTTGCCCTTAAGTTAGAGGACACTCAATGCCTCCTGAGATTAAACTCTAGTTATTTTCAAGCCATTAAACCTCCTCAACAAATACTATTTTATACCTAGGTCCATTTGTGTGCTAATTTCTTGAAGAAGACTTGCAAGCTGCGTTGCCTCTAAATTAGTAAAAGCAGTTTGGTAATGTGTTATCCACTGCTCAAACTCATTCAGCTTCACCTGGATTGCTTCCTGGACAGCTCTTTGTTGAGACTGCAACTGTGTGTGCTCAGAGTACCTGAACGATTGAAGCCACAGAATAATTACAACAAGACAAAGCAATACAGAAAACATAACCATATCAAACAACACCTTGCTGACCAGAAAATGAACATATTCTCACCAATTACATAAAACTTTCACAATGCTGCACTAATAATTATTTCTGCTTTCCTACAAAATAATTAACGCACGTGCATGTTCATGCAATTTTGAAATCCTTGATCATTTTCAAATAAATGTGAAAAATAACTTAAAATAATTAGAAATTTAGATTAAAAGACTCTTGTGCTGTTTATCAATAGCTGTGTTACGTGGATTATTCTGATGGGGCACCACATTTGGCACATTCTCTCTCTTGCCCTGAGGGTTAAGTGTGGAACTTGGACAGGCACAGATTATATTGATGGAGTATGAGGTGCAGGAAGTAAGTAGGAAAGTGGTTCCAGAACAGCTTTTACCCAGCTAATCAACTCTCTTATATACACACCTATAACATTTAACCCAAAGTACATTACTAAAACACCAACTGCACTGAACTCTGAGACTCCCAACACAATTCCTGTCTCCTCTGTACCTGTGCTGAAGTGTGTGGGAGGGATGATCCACTCCTTCTGCACCCTCCAGAAATTCTATCTCTTCCAGCAGTTTTCCTTGCAACTTCTCCACATCTGTCAACTGCTCTTGCAGGTTCAGATACTCTTCTAAACTACTGTCCAATTTCGGCAGCACAGCAAGCATTTCATCTCTGTTCTTAAACCAGTTAACCTGTAACCAAGACATAGATGTTATAGAACTGGACTTAATTCAAACAGGTCAGAGAAAGTAAGATATGGCAGAACTTAACCCTTCAATGATGCCATTCACCTAGGACCACCACCAGAGCTACAAGTGCTACATCTTAACACACATGCTCTCTAAACCTCTGTTTTTATTTCTCTAGTCCAGATTCAGGCAAAACACTAAAACATGTTTTAGAATTAAGTATGCAGAAATTAAAATTAAATACCTGCAAGTTCAATAGATACACATCCCTTAATACGAACTCAGTTTGAACAAAATTTGTCAACTATTTCTAATAAATGACCACATCTTCCACCACCCCCAAATGCAGTAAATGAAAGCACAGAGCCTATTTTGGTTATAAAATAGAAAATCATTGTAGTAAACTCACCTTTATTTCAGCCACCCTTGATGAAAAGAGACTACGAGTAATATCCCTTTCCATTTCCCTTTTGCTCTGTTTGTTTTCAGCCTGCTGGCCACCACCACCATAGACAGCTCCAGCAAATCCTGCTTCACCTCCAGCTGTCCAGTCCACCAGTGGATCATAAACAAAAGCTTCAAGCAGTGTAAGCAAAGTCTCTCTCCCACGACGCATTATATGAAGGACCTGCAGCATATTTTGAACAGACTCATTCTGATTCTGCATCATCCTTGGAGAGCAGTGGCAATTTAGATGCAAATTACTGTACTTGAGTAGGTACAGAAATCAGTAATATGTCCCTAACCAGTACAGACACCGAAAGAACACCACAAGTGTGTAAAAATGCAGCTAAGGATGTAGGAATGCCACTAAAACTCAAGATTACATTCTAGCCTTCCACACAAACTCTATACATGATCAACAGACACTTAAGGAGGAAAACTCCTCTTTGTTCAGAGCATTTTTCTTTCTAAAAACGTATTTGTCATGTTTATAAAGGCTGAGACCCACAGGAAGAAGGTAAGCAAAACGTCACAAAAAAGAGATTAAGTTAAAACATAACATTTTATATCTAGAAGTTCCTCTTCCCCCCAAATCAAAGTTGTACCACTATTTGCATATATATTTCTCTGACATTCTCACAATTCTTAAATACCTACCATAGGATATATTTAGAGTAAGTCAAATTAAAATATCTAGAGTGAGTCCAATTAAAACCACAGCAGAAAAGGTGAAGGTTTTATGAACCAACAGTGGACTGCTTAATAGAAAAGTTCCAAGACAGTATTAGGCAAGTGACAGCCCTCAGTTTTCTTCAAGCTTCCCAACGTACCTGTTCACAAGAAAGCCTGAAAACCCCTTCTACTCCTGTCACTCCAAGTGCTGTTTCAATGTTGTGCGTCATCCTGAACGGAACCTTCTCAGGTACCCTAAGGCTCTTCCCTTTAAGATAAAAATTTAAGTTGTTTCTTTTAATTACCAAGAAGGGAAACCTTCTATTTGAATAACATAGAGCATTTTTTAAATTACCTTTTTCAAAGCAAACATTATAATCTATGTGGACAACTTCTCCTGTAGTCATATCTATAAGAACATTATCCAGATGTCTGTCTCCAAGACCAATGATGTAGCCAACCATGGACATAACTGCAGTGGATCTTGCATACGACTTTAAAGAGAGTTTCAGGAAAAAATTATTTGTGGGAATCCTCTGCCAACACATTGGACTGAGTACCATCTTAAAACATTATTTTAAGTGTGTTAGACAAATCAAAATCAACTTATTCCAAGCAGTTTTCTAGTTGTTGTCTGATGATATCTTACAAGGGTTTTCATGTCTTAGGCTGATCATTCTAATATAATCATGTAGAGTTATCAGGTTTACACCCATTTTTTAAATTCCAGATGGCACAATTGCCAATATTTCCTGTTACATCAAACTTCAGCACTGTTAGCACTCTTAACTCACAAGTATCACTGCTTGCACATATCTCAGGCATTTGCTGCCCCTCATCCCACTAAAACCACAGCCTCTCAAAGGGAGAATACAGTTGTTGTAACTCACCTGTGTAACTCTCCACCATTCATCCGGTGTGGTACATGATGACCAGAGCTCCTTAGCTAGGAGATTTGGGGGAGTTGCCTCCATCAGTTCCTCTAGAACAGCCCTCATGACATTCAGGGGCCAGTCACGACGTGACACGTCAAGACTGAGCCCAACTGCCTTTAAAGCAGGTCCAATTTTACTGTAGTAAAGTTCACTGGGTCTAGGCACTATTCCAGGATTCTGAGGAGTCTGATAAGAGTCCTGAGCCTAGAAGAAGTTAAAATGGGAGTTTATGTATTGCAACTCTTTACCACACAAAAGTATCCCAAATTCAGAATAAAACAAGAAATCAGTGCCTCTACTGAGGCTGACTCAAGAGAATTCTTTGAAAATTCCACAGTTAAAGTCTAAATAAACTGAAAACACATTGTTTTGGCCTAACCTTACTCTTAACAAGGGAAATTTCAAAAACAGAACAGTAAAAACAATTACAATGAGAAAATGAGATGTGGAACTAAATATATAATTTTAAACAAGGTTAATTATACTTGTAAAAAAACAGTTCTTGGATTATCATGCTGGAACAGCATATTCATGTTGCATACTGCAACTCTAAACACACACGCACATACATACATACATACATATATA